AGTAAAACTACTAAAAAGTAGTATAAACAGATTACATTTAGATCCAGCATTTAGAGTTCTGTTTCAGACATTTTACTCATCATTAAAGCCAGTATAGTTTGATCAAAATTTAAAAACTCATCATTATATATATTTGTACAACTGGTAGCACTTTTCCAAATAAGGCATTATATTCTGTTTCATCAAGGTCATTACTAATTCCTTTTACCGTACCTATGATAATAATAATAATAGTAATAATAATAATAATAATAATAATAATAATGTTGTATAGGAATAAAGTGTCGCTTGAACATAGATCGCCAGTGAGCAAACACAGGCGTTCCCATTATTGAATTAATTGGATCCCGTGACCATTGAGGAAACGCATATATAATTGATCGCTATTTCTACTCTATCCTCTATACTATACGGATCTGTGTTTCTAGCCTATCCTCTGTACTATATGAGCAGCTATTCCTCTACTCTATGCACTATACTATTTCTCTATTCGGATCAATACTGATTACTATTCGAGCGAGTATTATAGAGCAAGTACTATTAGTGCGAATGCTATTCGAATGCGTCTGACACTATAACGGTTACAGCAATAAAAGGTATCACAATTCTATGGGATTAAGCCATCTTTACAGACGGGAAAATTGAAGCAATTAGGTTGGATATAATTGTCAAGAACTGAAAAGAAATACATTGCCTACTAATTGATATGGCTTGCCCAGCAGACTGTAACATAGCAACCAAGAAATTTGAAAAACTATTGAAGTATACAGAACTGGAAATCGTAGAAAAAAATGTGGAAATTGGAAACAAGAATAGTAAAGTCATAATAGATGCGCTTGGAATGATAAAAAAAGGAACACAACAATACACTGACAAAAAATCTCTGGGAATCCCAGCTTAAGAGAAATACAAAAAATGTCTTGATAAGTAGAGCCCACACACTAAGAAGATGTTATGGGAGGTAGAAAAATAAATCATGAAATGTAGACATAAGAACACGCCACATAGGTCTTCCCGCAGATTTGGTAGGTCTTTTCTGTTTATGTGCCATGTCCTTTCAGTACATAGGCGATCATGGCTCTACACTTCCCTCTATCCCTTGTAGCTTTCAGCAAGTTCCCTCCCTCTGGTTTCTCCCCAAGGCCACGTTCTGTCACCCACATGCTCAAGCTCATCAGGTATGTCACGCGCTGCTTTCCCCTGTCTCTCTTTTCCTCCATTTGACTCGTGAGTATCAGATTCTCCAGGCCCTCCTTCCTCATTATGTGTCCCAGAAACTCCAGCTGCCTCTTTCGTATCTCAAGTATAAGACTTCTCTTTGTAACCTCTCTAAGACTTCATCGTTGCTCACATGCTTGGTTCATGACATCCTTAGCATCCTTCTGTAGAAAGAACCACATCTCCGTCGCCTCGAGCATCTTCTTCATCTTTGAGGAAATCATCCAACATTCGCTGCCTTAAGTAAGAACAGATGTCACGTAACAGCTCAGCCTTCTTTTCTTTGTAACGAAAGAAATCCTCCTGTCTTGCAATACTCTGCCCAGCTTTTGGAATGTGTCCTTGGCCATCCCAATACGTCTACGGATATCAGTGTCGCACTTACCGTCTTCTGTCAAGACGCTTCCCAGATATTTAAACTTCTATGTCTGCTTGATGATAGTGTTCCCGACATCCAAATCGCATTTCGGGCTCTTTCTCTGACTGATGACCATAGCAGAATTAAAAATATAATGATAATAATAATGTAGGTTTTGAGAATGTGAGTTACCCGATCAGAGGTTCCAAAATGCTGGCTCAGAGGCGCCATGTTAATGTATACCTTTATATATTGTGTCTAAAGTATGAATACCAAGTTGCAGAAAATTGGTACGATCACGTGTCTTGCAGAAAAATTGCAGAAATTGGAAAGTTCACATTATTGTGGGACTAAGATTATCAAAGAGACAGAGTGATACACCATTGCCGAACGGATATTAATGTGTTCGATAAAGGCACCATAAAAGGTCATATTATCGATTTTTTACATACTAAATGACACAAACATAGCTAATAATGTGACTGAGAAAATTACAAACTACACTTATTTGAAAGTTGAGATAGAATGATAGTTTGGAATACGGGAAGGGAATGTCAAGGTGATTCCAGTGGTGATTGGCGCACTGGAATCAAGGTGAATTACTTGACCATCTGGCCATACTATATCAACTTAGAGTCATTCAAAAATTTGCTCTGTTCAACACTGCACATATTTGGAAAAAAACTTCTGTCATTCTGGGGTACTTGTTGTCGCTTGACACATAATTATTGTACCCGGTTTATTCAAGAACTTACACTATGTGACAAAACATAACAAGAATAGCAACAAGATCAAAATATATTTTTTAAATCATTTCACATCGAGTAAGGTAATAAAGTCACTAGGACGCAAGGGGTTACGGATTGTTAGAGCAAATGAGAAACACTACAATGAAGGGGAGAGGATAATAAAAGAACAAGAATTAAGAAGAACGGTTGACATTGCAATTCAGTGTTTGAAGATCAAATTTGACAGGGAAGCAAAAAGCCGAAAGAGAGTTCTACAAGTGCGATAGAAGAAACTGATAGCATAGAACTTACGGTTACATCTATTTCAACTGAAAATTGATGAGACCTTGACGCTAATCTAGTACTTCGCTTAAATTCAGAAATTCTAGGTACAATAGCGGAAAGTTCATCAGAACAATGACCATGAAAGTATTTATAGAAAATGAACAAGAAAGCTACGTTACGGCGGAAAAGGGACTGAATCTGAGATGCCAGGTCAGGACCAATATCATTGCAGATTTCTCTTTGAATTCTATCAAGAATCTCTAAATAAATTGCAGGAGCACCAGACCAGATGTGGCAGCAATATTCAAAACAAGGACGCACAAATTGCCCCACGCTGCAAGTGCCTCGTATACTCTTATATCAATTTGGATGTCACAATACATATATTGGACTTCGTATATTTGACCCCACAATCATTCCTTTAGCGTGTCGTTTCCTCATTCAATAATAAAATAATAATAATAATAATAATAATAAACATATGAAGACATTAATAATTCCAGCTGTGGTTGGGACCCCGGGTTTGGCTGGAAAAGGCTCTATTTGATTAATTGATGGGATCCCAGGCACGCCACGCCTTAAATAAATAGAAAAAAAAAATTCTCACAAGCCCAGCTGTGACCCTGAGAATAGTTTGATTTATACAATATGTGTGTTTTTAAGTTGTTTAATTTATTTGTTTTACAGAAATGTTCAGTGTAAAATATCATGATGCCATTTTGAATATTAGATCACTGGTTGGGACCCGGAAGGAAATGAGTATATAATGGAAATCAAAGGAAATAATAATAATAATAATAATAATAATAATAATAATAATATTGTTGTTGCTGTTTGAATAAATGATATTATTATGGCATTAGGCTTGCTGGAAGTGACCGACAGAATTAAAATTATAGCTTACAGTAGTGGACATTAAGGATAAAATTAACTTATGGGGATATTTAGGCACTCGCCCACGACATAGAATGGGACACAAGAACGAGCTTATATTGGGATTTCGGGTTTTATGAGCCCTTAAATTTGCTTGCCCCTTTTTAGGCATGGTTCTCAGCAAAAAATGCTTGATTGATTGTTTTTTACGGCTTATCAACCTTTTGCAGTTTATTTAAAGATAAAAGTGTTTTTAGATTGTAAGAATATTTGGGGGATAATAATGATTTACTGATAAGTCCAACTAATTAACCCATAGCTAGGGGAAGGAAGAGGTGGATCCTTACATTTCCTAAGGGTATTTGCGCGGGAATGAATGCAACGAACCCGACTGGAATTAGAACTCGGCTCACAGATCTCCAACTCCGAGCTGTTATCCATTACACTACCCATACATCCAAGCTTACAGCACCTGGTATTCTCAAGCGGTCACCCCATCAAGGTACTGACCACAAAAATAAATAAATAAAAAAACAAAATGGTGGATCTTATATACCGGTAAATAAAAGATAATCTTCCCGCGATCCAAAATAGATTTCGTGATAACCACAACGGAATTTATTGAGAGGAAAATTTAATTTTCTCTGTCTTCATTAGGTTCAAAAGCAAATTCTATACTGTTAACTGAAAAGACTTTCGTCATACAAAAAACAAAACGAAAAAATATTAATAAATAAATAAATAAATGAATAAATAAAAACAGCAACAACCAAAAAACAAACAAAAACGACCGGTAATTTTGTTACGTGTTAACGCCCGTCCTCAAGTGACGTGTGCGACGCGGCAAACCGTTATGAAGCTGGGGTGGGAAATTCGCCTACATCTGATAAATCATTCGACCTCTTAGGTCATCATTTGCTTTTCAGTCATGGGACATTCCTTAGTTAGTTATGCCGGCTCATTTTACGCCAGGTCAATATAATTTTGTCTGGGGCACTCGGTGACGATCGAACTCGCTACTCACTTCAACCAGTCAAGCCTTGTTAAATGTCGTGGCACATTATTAATAGTAGTACTCTTACTTGGTCGATTATACGACATAGAAACTTGTCGGGTTATTTAATGTCGAATTCTTGTCAAAGCGACTTTCCTCTCTTTCTCCCCACCACCGTCATTTCCGCTTCAGCGTGCCTCAATTTCTTTTCACTCTTTGTTTCAAAGAGTATGTATTGGCAGTCACTGCAGTTAGAGATTCGTCTCCAGCTGTGCTGGTCAAAATCTCTGCCTCAGGGCAGAGAGGATCACCAGAGGAGGCTATGCCGAAGGGCAGAGTCTCGTCTCGGGAAAAAGCTATCCGACACCGGTCTATGGGGAATTTTTGGCCGAGCCTACGGTCTCGGATAACCCGCATTAAATTCATCCTTGTGCCAAATCTGACCGCATGGGGCGGTTGGTAGATATCCTGCATACACCCTCGTTCTCTTACCTCCTTGCTTATTTCCACTACATATTTCCTCCCTCATTTTCTCTTCTTTCTATTCGGCCATAATATGTTGAAACTACCAGTTCCTGTACGACCACCGAAGTTAAGTAAGGTCGAGGCTTGTCAGTGCCGAGATGGGTGACCGCTTGGGAATACTAGGTGTTGTAAGCTTGTACGTCCAAATGATGCAACGCTCCGAAATTATTAAATTGTCAATTTAAATTGTTAAGCTCCAATTTCAGTTGGGTTCATTATATATACATACACGCAAAACTCCTTGGTAAAGGTATGAAACCAACTCTTCTTTCTTCGGCTATGGATTAATTAGCAAGACTTTTATCACGAAATTATTACCTCAGAAAATCTCACAATCTAAAGATGTTTTCTGGCTTTAAATGACCTGAAAATGGTTGATAAGCTGTAGAAAATCAATTAAGAAAAAAATCAATTTTCTACGTATAGATTACCTATCAAGAAATCTCTCCTCCCTTTTACTACATGTTTCTGGCCACGCCTTCTTTCCTCTCTATCCCTAAATATTTCCCAATTCGCATTCTTTCCTCTCAATCATTAATATTTCTTACATCGCTTTCTGTCCTCTCTATTGATACATATTTCCTACCTCGCTTTCTCGCCTCCCTAACGATAAATATTTCCGACCTCACTTTTACTTCTCTCATATCCTATTTCTCTCGGTCTATATTTCAACATACCCTACCCTGTTTTGTCACTCTCCTACCTCTGTCTTCCCTAACGATAAATATTACCGACCTCACTTTTACTTCTCTCTGTCAACATACTTCCCTACCCCGTTTTGTCACTGCATATTTTCCTACCCCTTTTGTCACTGCATATTTCCTACCTCTCTCGCCTCCCTAACGATAAATATTACCCTCACTTTTACCTCTCTTTTATTTCTTCTCTCTCTATATCATATATTTTGTCCTACCCCAGCTTTTCTCGCCTCCCTAACGATAAATATGTATTTTACAACACCCAGCTTTCCTCGGTCTGTTTTCCCAACCCCGTTTTGTCACTGCATATTTCCTACCTCTCTTTCTCGCCTCCCTAACGATAAATATTACCGACCTCACTTTTACTTCTCTCTGTCATATATTTCCCCCGTTTTGTCACTGCATACCCCTTTCTCTCGGTCTATATTACAACTTTTTTTATATATATTCCTACCCCGCTTTCTCTCGGTCTGTATTACAACATACTTCCTACCCCGTTTTGTCACTGCATATTTCCTACCTCTCTTTCTCGCCTCCCTAACGATAAATATTACCGACCTCACTTTTACTTCTCTCTGTCATATATTTCCTACCCCGCTTTCTCTCGGTCTATATTACAACATACTTCCTACCCCGTTTTGTCACTGCATATTTCCTACCTCTCTTTCTCTCCTATCACTACATATTTCCTAACTCGCTTTCTCTCCTCTCTATCGATACATATTTCCTACCTCGCTTTTGACCCGTTCTGTATATCACTACGTATTTCCCAACACATTTTCTCTTCTCTGTAATCATCAAATATTTCCTATCTCACATTCTCTCCTCTCTGTATATCACGACGATATCGAGTCAAACCCATTTGTATGAAAGAGGTCCCACTCAGATTCTGCAAAAAACAGCTAATTTGTGGAACAGACTCCGCAGTGGATGCTTCCCCGATCACTACAATCTTAATCTCTCCAGTCCAGGATCAATATCTATCCTTCTTATCCTCGTAATCATCACGTGCCATTTATTCTTTTTATTTCCATACCATACACATCATTAACTAACCCTCTACCTTGAGTACACTTGACTGTTTTCTTTACGGCTTATCAACCTTTTTAATGTTATTTAAAGCCGAAACATATTTCGATTGTAAAATTTTGGTGGGGGATATAATGATTTTCTGGTAGACGTTCTACTATTTAACCCATAGCTGGGAGGAGTAAAAGTGGATTCATACATTTCCCAAGGATTTTTTCACAAAAGTGAATATAACGAACCCGAATGGAATTCGAACTCCACTTTCCAATTCCGGGCTGATATCCATACAACCGCGCATCCAATCTTACTAGGCCTAATGTTCCCGCGCGTCACCCATTTAGGTACTGACCAAGCTCAGCATTGCCTAACTTCGGTGATCGGACTAAGGTGGCTGTTGAGTTTTGTATTGGGTGAATATTAATATGAAAATAAAAGTAGAGTATTCAGTTTAGCTCCCTTGAAGTCCATGAAAAGCGCTGTGCAGTCAATTTAACATTATAAACAAAAAAGACACGGTTTCAATTAAGATTTTGTAAATAAAAGATTTCAGCTTTAGAATAAAGATGGAAAACGAAGTGTGCAACAAATTCAGAAATTTCCTATAAATATCTCTTGTTGTCAAGGTGACGAGAGAAAAAAATTTGCTGACGACTAAAGATGGCGTAAGAAGAATTTTCTGACGCACACGAAAAAATCAAAGTTCTATTAAAATACCATTGTATGCAAAAGACCGAGGCGTATAAATAGCACATAATTTGATTTGAAGTCATGATCTTCCAGCTTATAAAAATGAAAACTCATTCCTTTACATGCACTTAGACGATACAGTCGTCTCTCCCCTGTCGTGTCAAACAATGGAAATGGTAACAATTTTGCCATGGTCATCTCACGGGCGCCAGTAGTTGA